AATAAATATTTAAAATTTTAACAGATTGATGTAGACATTTGACTTATTAATAAAAAAAGGATAAACATATTTTCATTCTATTTCTTCACAAACTTTTTGAAGTTATGTTTCATTATTTTTAAAGATTTATTTATTTATTGGAAAGTCAGATATACAGAGAGGAGGAGAGACAGAAAGAAAGATCTTCCGTCCAATGATTCACTCCCCAGGTGAGCACAACGGCCGATGCTATGCTGATCCGAAGCCAGGAGCCAGGAACTTCTTCTGTGTATCCCACACAGGTGCAGGGTCCCAAGGCTTTGGGGCTGTCCTCAACTGCTTTCCCAGGCCACAAGCAGGGAGCTGGATGGGAAGTGGAGCTGCCGGGATTAGAACCGGCGCCCATATGGGATCCTGGCGCGTTCCAGGTGAGGACATTAGCCGCTAGGCCACACCACCAGGCCCATGTTTCATTATTTTTTAATACTCATGAAAAACACTGGAAGATAAAGATTACTACTATTATTTTACAAACAAGATACATATTTCAAGGGGAGCAGATCAGTAGAGGTCATCCAACTATTCTATTATAGGAATAGAAATAAAATGTAGAACAATCACTTTGAAATTCTACCATTTGGCACAAATGGTCCCATAATGCTCAGTGAAACAAGTTAATTCCAAAAAGATAAATATCATATGTTCTTTCTGATAGAAAGCAGCCTTCTTGAAAAACATAAGATCAACGGTCCTTTCAATACTGTTTTTAACACAGCTCAGGGAGTTTGATATTTTTGTTTTTATTTTCATTCATTCAAAAAAAGGTTTTTGTTTTTCTTATTGATTTCCTAATTGACTCATAGGTCACACAATAGCATTGTTTTCTTCGGTAAGGTCTTTGATTTTCTTCTTCATTTCTTCAGCAACACATTGGTCATGTTCTATTTTGTCCTCTGCTACTGATTTTGTTCTATGGCTATTCATCCACAGGGATATAGTGTTACTGTGTAGTACAGACTATCACATACAGGTATGCAGATATAGAGCAGTATGCATCTCTACTTACAAATCAAAGATGAACTCCCAATGAAACTACTGAATGTATCTTGACCATAGGATGCCTACAACATCAGGATGCACTTAAATAGCACAATGATTGACTTATGACTAAATAAGGAGAACTATAGTATTGTGACGACACAGGGAAAAACATTGGTGGGGAGGAGATTTTGGGAGAGGAGAAAGGAAATCCTGGAGCCTATGGAACTGCATCATAGAATATTAAATAAATTTTTTAAACAATAAAAAAATTTTAAAACAATGTATCATGCAAAGATAAAATATGATTTCTAATCTTTCGTTATGTTTTATCATGTACCATAAAGAATAAGTTTAATTTCAATACTAAAATTATTTTTTAGATAAATTCAATAGTTCTAGAAATTTCAAATAGAGTTGTGGAGTGAAACAACTCATTTATTTGCCCAAAACATAATTCACATAGAGTCTGCTACCATGAAAGTAGAACAACCTAAATGCCATGTTGTTCAACTATACAATATTTAAATGAAACTTTAATGGTATTCTAGGAACCAAGGACTACTTCAATTACTTTAAGGAATCTATAACTAGTATACAAAACTCAATTTTTCATCTTCTCTTGCACCTATACACCAGTATGTACTGTATTTGCAAGGGTTCAAGGAAAGTGTGTTATGATGCATTTGAATTTGATCAGGTTACCTATCATTTCAGCACCATCTGCATCTCTCCCTTTACCACTTTAATATTTGTTTTCTCTTAGTTCTCTCTCCATGGCTCCCTATACTGTTTCCAGAGATATGAACACTATTTGAACATTATATGTGTTTATCTCACATAATGAAAATGTTACCCTCTCTTAGCTTTAACAAGTAATTTATTTTTCAGTAGATGCCATGTTCCAATATGAATAAGGATCTTAAGCAATCCCAACATCTCTCTCTCTCTCTCTCTCTCTCTCTCTCTCTTTCTCACACATACACACACACACACACACACACACACACAAACACAGACACTTTGTTTCTTCCCAGGTCAACAATGAGATTTAAATTTTTCAAACTTACAAATTCATATTTAAGTAGTTTCAAAAAGTTTATGTCTATGCTATAAATTTAGGAAGCCAGTCGCATAAAATGAACACTTAAATTCCAAAGATATATGTAATTTCAATGGTGTTGCATTTTATGGGTCACTGTGTCAGATAAAAGGTGATACTTATGTTAGCAAATATATTCTTCATATGTGATTACCATTCCTTTTCTGGTTGAAATATACCAATGAACAATTTTAGTAAATTCAGAACAATATTTATTAGACATTTAGTTTTGAACGTCTTCCACACAAACAGAAAAACATGCTTGTGTAGCAAACCTAATGGATGGATTCAAATAGAAATATTATCAAGAAATATTTCTTCACAAAGTATAACAGTCAAAGCACTTTCCAAGATGCTGTAATGCAAGCTTTCTGTATTATTAGTACATAATCAGTTAAGCCCCTAAAGTATGGGCAGAAAATATATACTTGACCATTTTCAATCATAAGTTCTTTGGAGAATAAAAAAATCTTTAAGCAAAACCTCATGGGAACTAGAATTCCCTTTTCAATATATGGTCTTTCCCAGAGCTGTAACTAAATATTACTGAGTGGCAGAAAAACAAATCTCAAGAAATGATGGACTTAAGAAAATTTCATTGAAGAAAGCACAAAGCAAGTCTTAATAATATCGATTTGAAAATGAAAGGTCCCCTGATCCGAGAGCAGCAGATATAAAAACTCACAGTAATGTCTAAACTGAATCTGTTGGGCCTGTGATGAACCTTAATAAGCATAATCACTACCCAGCTTAAACTAGAAACTCAGTTTTATGTGGTAGTTGATTAAATTCTTAGATCTTGAAATTAATACTTCAATTTTTAATCAGAACTTTCAAAACAAAGTGTCTCAGCTTTCATGTTCTGCATTTATATGTTCTCAGGAACACAAAATTAACTTTGTTGAATTCTTATTTTCAGATGCCAAAATTATTAATACTATGACATTAAAGTAAAAATTATACATGCTGAATTTACAAATCATCTTATCAATCCTCAGATATAACATGAAGAACTGCTTTGATAGAAAGCTACAATTAAAGCTGACTGTTTAAATATCCTCAAATACCCAACATATTCATCTTGGGCTTTTGCAAAATTATTTTGTATATTTAGAGTATATATGTGTTAAAACACAGGAGTGATCACTTTCCAACTGGTTTAACAATGCTTCCTATATTCTATCCTAGATAATCTCTAAAGCCTGTTCTACTTCTGAAAACCCATGCTGTACTAAGTAACATAAGCATGACTTACAAGTCTTAAAAACTTCTGTAGTCTTTGTATTGTATTAACAACACTTTGATCTTTCTAGTAAACCTTTAGAAGCAAGTGATTTTAATTTTCTCTTCCAAAAGAAAAGAATATAAAGACAAGACTTGAATGATGTCCATGAACATGACCTAAATTAGAAAACAAGCTGTCTTACCTATGGGTAATTTAGGCTTCCTAGTTATATTTCACAAAATGCTAAAAATGTTGGGAAGACAAGAAGATTATAGGTAATTATTGTCAACTTCATGCCCTGCCTGTTGGGGTTCCAAGAAAACTGCAGGGTAAGAATACTCTGCATCAACCACATAAATCCAGTCAAAAATTATTTTAATTTGAGAGGCAGAGAAACAGATAAGTAAAGATGCTATCTCTTGGTTCACTTGCAAATTACCTACATAGATGAAATAGAGACAAGCCAAAGAAAAAAAGCAGAAATTCGAACCATTCCTCCCACGAATGTGGCAGGGACCCAACCACTTGAGCCACCATCACCTGCTACCTCACAGTGTTCACCCTGGCAAAAAGCTAGATTCAGGAGCCAGATTCAGGAATTGAACATTAGCACTCAAATAGGAAACATGGGTGTATTAACTGATGTCTTAACTCAAAGGCAAATACTCACACATCAACCAATAAATTTTCATCAACTCAAATACTATAATGGATTCTGAACATGAAAATGAACTAAGCTAACCTCAATGTAGTCACAGTCTCTTAGGAAAGACAATTCACAAAGATTTTGGTGAGTGTCATGATAAAAATGAATAAGTACTAACGAAACACAGTAAATAAGGGGAAGAATTCTAACATAAGGCAAAAAGAAGACTAGCAAAAGATGGGGTCATTTATAGTTTCATAGATTGCAAGATATCGAAACTGGGTGTTACTGGGTGTTTCAGAATTTGTTCACAGGAAAGAAGAGAAAGAGCACTTGGATCAACGTGGGTCAGAAAAACGAGTACATCAAAAACTGCATGGAGGTATTTTCTCATGTAAGTGTTTAGAAAACCAAAACTATTATATTGTGCCTAGACAGACCAAGAGCAAAGGCAAAAAAGTTAGAAAAGTTACCACGGAGCCAAAAGACCAAGGTTTCAGATTACCTGAAAGCAAAAGGCAGACACTAACGGTGTTTGACTTCAAGGGGATTAACAAAAACAGGTTGGTATTTTAGGAGAAATCTGGTGACAGTGTGAAAGCTAGATTACAAGAGGATGTTGATAGCAAAATCAGGTACAAAGTGATTATGAAAGAAAGGTTTTGAAAACCTCAGATTTATTGACCATGAAACCTGACTCCCCCTTTCACCTAAATATTGTTGTGCATATCAAAAACAAAGGTTAAGAAAGTAAGATGCTTCAATAGCCTTGAAGCATTTTATAATTCAGAATTCTACTACTTAACTGTCCCCAAACTCCAAAACAATGTTTCTATTATGCAAACATTTGATGTGATCAGCATTTCCAGTTTTGAAATTTATTTCAATGTCACTAAAATTTATTTCATACTATATCAACTCACGGTAATTTAGCATGGAGAAGAAAACCTACTACTTATCACACATAAAACAGTAAAGTAACTGTGATAGGATTTTCTTTTTATCCTTACCATTACAAGCTCTTCCTGTAATTCACTGCAACTTTTTTCATTATACTGAAGTCTCTTTGAAAGGTCTATAATCACTTTCTTCTGTTCCTCAATCTCTTCATTCAGTTTCTTGTTTTTGGAGAAATACTCTCTTTCTAACCTGAAAAAAATGTGTCAGAGCAGATTTTCAAATACACTTTTATCAATTGCTATATTACATCCTTACCATACATGTCAGATGCACTCAACATTTATGTTGTTTGCAGGTTAACAGATTTTTTTTAAGACCACCTTCAATTTTTTTTAGTAAAAAGGATTACACTTTTGGTATTTATCTATTATTTTTATCTACCTGAAGGGCAGCACAACAGAGAGAAAAGAATAGGGATCCTCCCCGCTGCCTGTTCACTCCCTAAATGCCTGTAACAGCCAAGGCGAGGCCAGGCCAAGCCAAGGACCAGAACTCCATATGGCTATCCCATACGAGCTGCAGCAACCCTAGTACTTGAGCCATCACCTAATGCTTCCAGGAATATGAACAGGAAATTGAAACTGAATCACTTCTTGGCCTTTAGACTAAGATCAAGTGGAGGAAACTACAACTAGGGGCACAGCCAAGACTTGGAATCCAGGCACTTTGACATATGACACAGGCATTGCATGCAGCATCCTAACTACTGAACCAAACTCCCAAAGGGGATTATACACTGCAAATAAACAACTTAAAGCAAATAATACTTCTCCTCTGATGTCAGGTGTCTGTATCAGGCTAACTGAGACAAGCAACACAGATTTGGTTAGTAGAGCTACAGTCACAACGTCCTATTAAAAACATTGATTGACTGCTTTGAAACTCTGTATTATAGAGAGAGAGAGAGAGATAGAGAGAGAGAGAGAGAGAGAGAGAGAGAGAGAGAGAGAGAGAATATACAGATACAAAGATAGAGAGCTCTTCCATCCACTGGTTCATTCCCCAAATGCCCATGACAGTTAGAACCAAAGCAAGGTAAAGCCAGAAGCCAGGAACTGCATCTAAGTCTCCCATGTGGGTGACAGGAACCCAAGCACACGGGGCATCATCCTCCACCTTCCTAAGCACATTAGAAGAAAGCTAGACAAGAGGCACAGGAACTGGGATTTGAGAAGGTGTTCTGATTTAGGATGGGGATGTTCTGAGTGCTGGATTAACCCACAATGAGTTCCACAATACCCATCACTCACACCATTATGTCAAAACCCACACTCCAAACAAACCTTTTTTAAAGATTCATTTTTTATTTTTATTGGAAAGTCAGATATCCAGAGAGAAGAAGATACAGAGAAGAAGATTCACTCCCTAAGTGGCCACAACAACTGGAGCTGAGCCAATCTGAAGCCAGGAGACAGAAGTCTCCTCTGGGTCTCTCACCGGCACCCATATAGGATCCTGGTGCGTGCAAGGTGAGGACTTTAGCCCCTAAGCAACCGCACCAGGCCCCCTAAACAAATCTTCAAAAAAACTCTCTGTAACTTTGTCTTAGAGGGAAATCCCTGAGTCTATGGAACTATACCATAATGTTTTTAATTTTAAAAAATCAATCTTCTAAAAAGCCCATCCTCTAGTTTACTGAGCTCAGAAACTTCTTCAAGACAGAGAAAGCAGTCTTATCAAACAATGAAGAACATGAGAAATGTAGCTAATGTTTTATTCCTGATAGCCATGAAAATTTCAAAATGAAGAAATAACCCAAAATCATTTGTATTCACTTTGAATAGACACGAATTTCTTTCAAAGCTTTGCTTCCCTATTTAAATTTTGCTCACGTTGGCATTAAATTGTATTTACATTCTTGTGAGAACATGTGATGAAAAGCACTTTGAAAGCTTAGGTTGAACATCCCTAATCTGAAATGCTGCTCTTCCTAATAATGTGGCACACCTGGTGTGTCCGGTTTTAAATCTGTAATTTTAAATTACAGACAGGGTGATTCAGTATAACCAAAGCCAAACTATGTTCAGGTTATAATAAAATGAGCAAACCATTTTCTAATGATACCTGACCTCACTTTAAATCCACAATCCTTTCTCTAGAATAGAGAATAACCAATTCCACTGCTGCCCTTGATCGTTTGCAACAAGAATATTTCAAGGTAGAGTAGCTAAAATTTGAAAATAAATATGTATGGAAATTAGATGCAACAGTCCTAATAAAGAACTAAATAATAAAATGTATCAAAGTAGAGAAGTAATAAGACAATAAGAAGATGAATTCAGGGCCCAGCAAAAAAGCCTAGCTGCTAAAGTTCCCGCCTTATATGCGCCAGGATCCTACATGGGTGCTGGTTCTAATCCCAGCGGCCTGGTTTCTCATCCAGCTCCCTGCTTATGGCCTGGGAAAGCAGTCGAGGACAGCCCAAAGCCTTGGGACCCTGCAGCTGCTTGGCACACCTGGAAGAAGGTCCTGGCTCCTGGCTTTGGTTTGGCACAGCTCTGGCCATTGTGGCCACTTGGGGAATAAATCAATGAATGGAAGATCTTCCTCTCTGTCTCTCCTCTCTGTATATCTGATTTTCCAATAAAAATTATAAAAATAAATCTTTTCTAAAATAATCCAAAAGTACACAATATACACATAACAGTAGTTTCAAAAGAGCAAATTGAGAAAACAAAGAAACCAATGATGCAAAAATACAAGAAAACTTCCCAGAAATAACGCTACTTGAGTCTCTAAAGCAGAAAGAGCTCAGTAAACATCCAGCAAACTGAATGAAAAACAATCCATGCCAGGCTCATGGTTATGAAAGCTCAGAACACTGGAACAAAGATTCTACAAAGTCTCTACAGAATATTCAAATTATTTTTTGAGTTCTCAGCTACCAGGTTTGGCCTGGCCCACCATGGGCCAATGCAGGTGTCTGCGGAAATAACTCAGTACATTGGAGAGCTCTTTCTCTCTCTCTCTTTCCTTTTCCTCTCAATTGTCAAAATTTGGGGGGGAAAAAAAAAACAGTAACTCATTTAATAACTAACAGAATACAATAGTCACATTGGCCAAGCACTGGTTAATCACATAAACCAACACAAGTCATAAAATGATCACATTAAGTACTGTCACATCTGACTTGGCAAATCCTTAGCTACCAGCTTATATACAGCAGACACTATTCTAGGCACTGAGAAACAAAGTTCCTCTTCATATTAGCTGTATAATAAACAACAAAAGTCAGAACGTATTCTAAAGAAAAATAAAAACAGGCTACTTTTTTTAAAAAAGTTGTAGAAAAGAGCTGCTATCCAAACCACTCAGCCAATCCCTCAGAGCACGCACCACACTGGGACCCTGCGTTGACATCAGGTGGCCATTTCCTACCCCCAGGTACTGGGGCAATTGGGAAGCTGTATACATACGACTTCTCCCTGTATATCCCCACTTCTCCCAGATACAGGAAGAAATAGAAAATTTGCTAACAATGATCACACCCACTTTTCCCTAACCTTCAATCCTTGCCACCCTGATCACTATGGAAACATCATCAAAACTTTTTTTAAAACATGTAAAAGAAAACAGAATTAAAAATAAGCTTAGAGAAGGGCATTTTCATCTAGTGGTTAAAATTTCCATGTCCCATTATCAGAGTACCTGCGTTTAATACAAGCTTCTAGCTCTTAACTGCAGCCCATTGTTAATGGAGATCCCGGAGGTCGCAAGAGATGATTCAGTTAGTTGGGTTCCCCCGGCCACAAGGAAGACCTAGAATTGAGTACTGAGTTCCTGGTGTTGTTCTAAATCTATCCCAACCATCGCAGGCATCTGAAGAGTGAACCAGTGGACAGGAGTGTCCTCTTGCTCTCTCTAAATCCTACCCCCACCTTTTTAAAAGAACTTTTTTGCAAGATAAGTTTATTTTGGTGCAAAAAAATTTTTAAATATATACATAATTTGTAATAATATATATTTTCCATAAAATTCTGAAGACCCATTGTAATTGCTATTACTTAATACATATCTTTAAAGTTATTTATGTTAAGACAGAAAATTGTTATCTAATTGTCATAAGTAGAAATCAAAGACTTCAAATAATGGTTTAGAATGTCTATTATGAATTTCATTTTGGAAACACATTAAAGAATTATAAGCTTCTTAAAGCATTTCACAAAACTTTTCAGATGAAAGACTTTTGAGCAGAAAAGTTTAAAACAGTTGGAGCCACATATGAGTAGGTATGTCCTTACTCCTATTAAGTCTTGATTTCCACATATTAATTGGGAAATTTTTAAAAATATAGACACAGCTAACTCACAAGGCCTCAGATAAGTAAATGAAACTATGCAATGCCAGGCACATACCAAGATACATGGTAGCCATACTACTACTATTTTTGTAGTTTTAGAATATCCCAAACACTTTCTATCTCCACAACATTCATTTCATATGGCCCAGAAGTTTTAAAAGATATTGCATAACACTAATCATATAATGGAAAATACACTAATGTATTTAGATTGTACTTTACAACTGCATTTCTGGGACACTCTGAATATTTACTTGGAACAGGAAGTATAGTTATGCCTTTTCCCTCTAACATATCTCCGACATTAAAGAGAACAGTTGCCAAAATATGTGCTCATATTTAAATAGCTTTCATGAAATCTTTGTGTTAGAGAATTTTAGAGAAACATACTTACAAGCTTAGTTTTGCAAAGCTCTCTTGTGCATTGAGTTTTTCTCGCTCATAAGCACTTTCAACTTCTTTGAATTCATTCTTGATCATTTCCAAATCAGCAACAGCTTCTGCCTGGCTGGCCTTTTCCACTTGCAAAGCTCCTTCGAGGTCTCGAATCCGTAACTACCAGATGACACAGAAATAATTGAAACAAGATCAGAAATGCAAGCGTTCATCTTAAGTTGATAAACAACAAATTATGATTCTTTCAAACATTTCCTTCTTTTTGCTTTGGTTTAAAAACAAACATAAAAGACACCTTATTTCCTTTCTTAATATATTTAATGCAAAAAGAAAACAGGAGGAGGATAAAATTAATGGTGCCACCAAAATTGATAGGCAGATATAGTATGCCCATCCCACTAAAGTGCCTTATTAATAATCCATTACTTTTCCAGTCAGAGGCTTCCTTTATACAATAAGAGAAGTTGACTGGACTTTTTTGAAAACTTACGGGAGTTATTCTTTCTCTCAGAATAAACTCTTTCACATGAATATTTGTACAAACCTAAGAAGTTTGATAGATCTTTTTATACCTGGAGACTTCTTAGTATAAAAAAAGAGAAATTTTATTATCATACAATATTATTTGGCTGAAATTTTTATGTTTGTAGTGACTTAATAGCTGGGGTTGGCTTCATAATGATGTGGCAATGGAGGAGTATAGGTAGATAATAGTAAAGACATAATTGATCTAAGGCTAGTATTGAGGTTGGGTGATAGGAATATAATGGTTACATTTTACTATTTTAATTCTGCACACATTTATAATTTTACATACTAAGACATTTTAATAACCATATTCTCAGAGCAGGCATTTATTCCAGTAGTTAAGATATACAAACCCCACATTGGAGTATCTGGGTTCAATTCTAGGTTCCAGCTCCTGTCTCCAACTTTCTGCCAACGCAGCCTCAGAAGGCAGCAGTAATACCCCAAATGATTGGCTTCCTGCCACTCATACAGGTGACCTGGGATGTGTTCCCAGCTCCTGGCCTCGGCCCCAGCACAAGCCTAGCCATTGAAGGTATTTGGAGATTTGGAGAGTAAATCAGCAGACCAATGTGCTCTTTCATATTCTCATATGCTCTCTCTCCTCTGTATCTCAAATGACTTAAGTATCTCAAAGGCAGTTTCAGAAAGAGACAGACAGAAAATCTTCCAACCACTGGTTAACTCCCCAAACACACAAATGGGGGTGGGTCAAACTGAAGGCAGGAGCCAGAACTCATCCGGGTTTCCTTGATGGCATTTGGACCATCTCCCAACTACCTTCTCAGGTGAATTGACTGGCAGTGGAGTGTCTGGGACTGACACTACACTGCAGTGTGGGGTGCTGGGGTTGCAGGAGGCAGCTTAAGTTGCCACACTGTATTTGGCCACTAAATAAACTGTTTTCCAAAACTATTCTCAGTGTCTTCCAATAACAGATTGGAAAAAAAAAAACCTACATTCCCACAAAAGAATATGTACCTATGAAAAAGTATATAAGCCAATTCTTAAATGTACTTTTTATCGATAAAAACAACACATTTTCCACATTTTACAATACAGGCTTAGGAACATAGTAATATTTCCCACCCAACCCTCTTTCCTACCCATATTCCTCATGCACTTTCCTTATTCCTTATCTTTTTTCAACAATGGCATATTTTTATTTCACTGCACTATCACAGTCTTATGACTCCACTAAGATATCAACACATAGCAAATACAAGACAAAACCTACTCTCCCTTAGGAGTGCAAAGGCTGTACACAATAATCAAATTTCAAAATATCAACCTCACACACACAAATTACATTTTGTTCTCTGTTACCATAAATCCAGGGAAACATATGATATGTGTCTTTTGGGGACTGGCTTATTTCACTACGCAGAAGGGTTTCCAGTTGCATCCATCTGCTACGAAAGACAAGATTCTAATTCTGTAAAGAATTGCTTCCGGATGACCAACCAGGAGGCTATTCAATATCTTTGAGAGTGGAAGAAATCTCTTTAGGAAAAGAGTTTAAACAGTTTGTTAAAATATTCTGTCTTATTTCATTTATGTAACAATTGATATCTGGCTGTCCTTTCTATAATGCAGAGTGAGTACTTTCCCTGCTGTGTTTGATAAATGTTGTCCAGGTTCTATTGCCAAGTATTTGTTGTCCAAAATGCCTGTTTAGCTTTTAAAGATGAAATTCCACCCTCTGCTTGGTTTTAAAAATGTATGGTATATTATGATAGGACAGAGTAATAGCAGGGGTCAGATGTGGAAATGGCCTGAAGACAAAAATATACATGAGAAATAAACTTAGTACTTTAATTTTTTAAAAAAATCTCCTTTTTATGGCTGAATAGTATTCCATACTATATATATATAGTATATATATATATATATATATATACCACCTGTTATTTTCTTTTTGTTCTTATTTCCATATTTATTTTTTCCATTTCTTACTGTTATTTTGTGATACAGTTCAATAGGCTCTGGGATTTCCCTGGTCCATTCATAAAACCCCTCCCACACACACTGATTTCCTCTATGCTATTACAATAATATAGTTCTTTATAAGCAGATGTAAATCCATCATTGCAGGCATGGACATGGACAATGGCAGAGAGCCCAGCATTCTATTGTCAAGATACAGTTAACAGTTTCACTGAGAGTCTATCTTTGATCTGAAAATAGAAATGCATATTGCATTGTATCCTCACATCTGGATATGATCATCTCCAGAGCACAGTTATTGTACCTCCCCTTAAATGAGAAGCCACAAAACAGAATCAACAACAGACAGAAAAATAGAAATTTACAACACCATGGAGTTAGATAACATGTACTGAATGACTAATGTGTCACTGAAGAAATGAAAAAGAAAATCAAGAACCTTCTTGAAGAAAATGATGCTACTATATAGCCAATGACTCAGTGAAGAATTCAGTATGAGAAAAAAACTGTTTTGAAGAAATGAAAACTAAAAATCAAAACATCAAAATCCACAGGGATAGTTTCCGCTGATCTTTGTTGGTAAGATGTGTCTCCTGTAGGTAACAAATAGATGGGTTTTGTTTTTTGATCCAGTCCACTAATCTATGACATTTGATGGATAAGTTTAAGCCGTTTACATTCAGGGTTAATATGAATGGGTGTTAATTTGGTCCTTTCATTTTTGCAATGGGTTAACCGTTCATTCTTTGATTTAGCCTTCTGTTGTTATTTTACTGGGATGTTCTTCACATTTGCCTTTGGTTTTGGTGGGTGCTATTCCTTTTCTCTGTCAAGAGAACATCTTGAAGTAGCATTTGTAGGGCAAGTCTGGAAAAGGCATATTCTTTGAGCTTTACTGTGTATCACATTTTCTTGATCCAATCATTTTAACAGACATCTGGTTTGATTCAATAGAATTGAATTTTTAGATTGTTTATTTTCACTGTTTTTGTAAGATTTGCTTAATTTTTTAAAAAGATTTGTTTATTTTCATTGGAAAGGCAGCTATACAGAGTGGAGGAGAGACAGAGAGGAAGATCTTCGATCCCATGGTTCACTGCCCAAGCGATCGCAACAGCTGGAGCTGAGCCAATCCGAAGCCAGGAGCCAGGAGCTTTTTCTGGGTCTTCCACATGGGTACAGGGTCACAAGGCTTTGGGCCATCCTCGACTGTTTTCCCAGGCCACAGGCAGGGAGCTGGATGGGAAGCAGAGCCGCAGGGATTGGAACCGGCATCCATATGGAATCCCAGCGGTATGTTCAAGGTGAGGTCTTTAACCACTGCGCTATCACTGCCAGACCCAAGATTTACTTGTTTTATTGGAAAGTCATATATACAGAGAGAAGGAGATACAGAGAAAAAGATATTCCATCCACTGGTTCACTCCCCAAACGACCACAACAGCAGGAGCTCAGCTGATGTGAAGCCAGGAGCCAGAGATTCTTCTGGTTTCTCGTATAGCTGCAGGGTCCCAAGGCTTTGGGTCATCCTCTACTGCATTCCCAGGCCACAAGCAGGGAGCTGGAAGGGAAATGGAGCATCTGGGATACGAACCAGCGCCCATATGAGATCCCCACACAGGCAAACACACAGGGTGTTGGGAGATGGTCCTATGATGATGTCTTGGAGACCTCAATGTGAAGACGAGTGTTCCAAGGGTGTTACTTGAGTGGTTTTGATAGTTCCGAGATGCCAACAGCGTCACTGTACCAGGGTTGAGAAAAATATTTCCAAGACTAATCAAATCTACTTCAGTGTGCATAAATAGACCCAAATTCTTGCTGCAAAGCCTGACCAGGAAAGTTGTCCAACCTAGTCTGCTTTTTATCCTCTGATGAGGCATCAGACAACTGCTGTCCTAGGTTTGCTGACTGTCATGTCCCCTGTGTATCTGAGCACGATGAGCACTGCACAAGCTTCAGCAACTGAGGAGGCCCAGTCCCGATACATGCACTCCCAAGGTTGGACAACACACATTGTGATTTTTCCTTGTGGCTGGGATTTGAGTCCAGCTATCTAGTTTGGAAGTTCCCCAAGAAACCTCACTTGTGGTGACCTCAGACTTGACTTTCATGTGTGCCAGCCAGTGCAAGGTCAGGCTTGGTCTATCACCTGCACCAGCCAGTGCAGCTACCTGCCTGGTCAGTTCTGCCCCCAGCCCAATCTTTCATACCAACTAAAGTGTGCTGCGGTCCATTCTGCATCCCATTTGGCCCTCATGTACACTCATGGGTTCTGTAGCTTAGCTCAGCTCGACCCTTCCCCAAACCCAGCCCACATGCATGCCAACAGGTGCTGCCACTCTGCCCAATCCAATTCACCACTAGCCCTGGCTGTTATACTCACCAGTGGGATCTGAAGCCTAGCAGAGGAGCAATCGCAATTTCTTTACCAGGACCACTCCTGCCCAAGATCTTGCACTTGCCAGGGGGTACCATGGTCCAGCCTGGTACAACTTGCTCCCAGTCCAATCCCTTCCCAGGTGTTGCAAGCTAGCTCAGCTGGCCTGCATCCATTCAGCTTTCATGAAGCTAGCAGGTGTGGCATGAGATCAGCCCATCTCCAAAGCAAGCTCTCATACTCACCAGTAGAAGCAGCAATCCAACAAGGGAGTCTCCAAAGTTCCCCTTTCAAGCTCACTCCCAGCCCCAGGTTTTGTATATGCCAGCAGGTGCTGTGGCTCAGTCTGAGATGGCTAACCCCCAAGTCTCTCAGCATCTGCCAGCAGGTGCTATAGCCCAGCCTAGCCCCAGTCCCAGCTCTCACTGGCACATGCAGCACCCTAGCCCACCCTTTACCCCTCATTTAAACTACTGGGTTGCAGCCCAGAGAAGCCTGGCTTGCACCCCATCTTGACTCTCAGTCATGCCAGTGCGCTGTGAACTGACCCAGCCTGGCTTGTCCCCTGACCCAACCCATGCTAAAGAGTGCTACAGCCTTGCCTGCCCTGGCCTGCCCAGCTACTGTGCTTCCCAATAGAAGCTGTGGTCTAGCAAGAGAGTTCCCCAAACTCCCCTACCAGCCACAGGATCTCATGTGCCAACAGGTGCCAAGGCCCTAGGCATGGTCTGCCATCAGCCCTGACCTTCGCATGTACCAGCATCTGCTGCAGACTGGCCTGTCTCCTCCCAGCCCTAGTTTCTTCAAGTGTCATGTGAGTTCCTATCAGATGACTTCCATGGTCCAGCCTGGCTCAGCCTGTCACCACCCCATGCTCTCCATGCAAACCAGTGGGTGCTACCTCCCACAGAGGAAAACCCATAGATCCTCTACAGAATCTTCCCCTAGATCTAGGTCTCTCACATTCTAGTGGGTGCTGCAACTTGCTTCCTGCTAAAACACTTAGGGGCAGGTACTACAGCCTAATCCAGCCAAGCATACCCCCACACACCCAGCTTATGTGTGCACCATTAGGCAACTTGCAATGCTATTTGGCCCATCCAAGTCTGACACATGGGCAGGTGAGCTGGCCTATCCCAGACATGCCCTCCAGTCTCCACCATTCCATCTCCCACTGCCGCCAAACCACTCCATCTCAGTTCCCTTGCCCACCTGTGAGTGCAGTGGCTGGATCCATGGAAGATCCAAGAAGTCATCCCCCCTCAACATACATGCCCTCAGCTGCTCTGACTCCAGTCTCCAATATGTCCCAAGATCCCCTTCCCCAGGCAATCTGCAACCCCCCACGACCTGGAGACCAGGTTGGTGTGTTCCACCCCAGTATTTCCCACCTTCCCAGATACCTTTCAAAAAAAGAAAAATAGACTAGGCAACTAAGCTGGCACACCGGTACAGTTAATACAATTTGGCACTAGCCAGGCCCAGAATGTTGCCAGCCTTGGCTGCTTTTCTCCCAGCAGTGTTAATACTTGCCTAGGTATAAACCAACCTAGACAGTTGGCTACAGCTGCTATGATTCAATACCTTAATTATTGTGAATTTATCTCCAAAAAGCGCAGGTACCAACAGCAGTCATATGCTGATTTCACTTCATCTGGGTAAATCCCCATGAGTGAGACAGCTGGTTCATATGGAATATCTATTTTCAGATCTCTGAGGAATCTCCAATATGTCCTCCATAATGGTTATACTAGTTTACATTTCCACCAACAGTGGATTAGAGTAATCTTTCCCCACATCATCTCCAATATTTGTTTTTTTGGGGGGTGGTGTGGGGGAGGGCACAGCCATTCTAACTGGGATAAGGTGAAATTTCACTGTGGTTTTGATCTGTGTTTCTCTGATAACTAGTGGTCCTGAGCATTCCTTCATGTTGTCGGACATTTATATTTCAGTCTTTGAAAATTGCCTGGTCATGCCTTTTTCCTTTTTTTTAACTAAACTGTTTTGTATTGTTGTTAGGTTCTCTGAGTTCTCTATAGATCCTAGATATTATTCCTCTATCAGTTGTGTCATTTGTAAATATTTTCTTCCATTCCTTTGGTTGCCTCTTCACTTTGTTTACAGTTTCCTTCATAGTACGGACATTTCTTAGCTTCACTGGCTTCACTTGTTTGGTTTTGCGTAGTTGTTGTTTAGTTTTGCCTGTGCTTCTGCAGTCTTTCCTGAGAAGTATTTGCCTATCCCTGCTTCTGACTTGCAAAATAAATCTAAGTTCTTTAGCATTAAAAAGTCCCTTCCTGAGTCTCATCACATCTTTCGACTATCATTAGTAGCTTTACTCTTGCGGTTCTGTTCGCTGAGAACAGTGGTCATAAAGCTGTTTCTGTATGGGGCTGGAGAGTCAATTCTTTAAGTTTTGTGTGTCATAAGGTTCCTAAATCAACAAGCAGCCATAAACTACATGTTTAAAAAAGAGGGGCATGGTTATTTTCCCCCAAAAGAAATTATTTACGAAAATGAGCTGCATGTCAAATTTGGTCCAAGGGCAATAGCTTTCCAACCCCTAATTTAAATGCTGTGCTCTCTTTTCTCTCAGAAATTCCTTCTCACTTTCCAAACCCCAACAAGAACATTTAATTCTTCTCCAGCATTAGACCTTTTCTATTTGTCATACTCCCAAATATTTTAGCATTTTGTATTTCTCCCTTTGTGTCTATATATCATATATACAAATATGGTATCTGAAGCTTAGTCCAAGTTGCAAGTAGAGCTCATGCATCTTTATTCTGTCAGCTCTTAATGATGACAGCTGATATGCGTTCTATAAATATGATGCAGAGGCAAGATGAATTTTCACAAAAACAGACAACGGGTAAGACCTGGCCTGTGTGCTGCAGTGTGCCAACTCCTCCATTAGCATAATATATCCTCAACTATATCCTGACCGCAACTCAGTAATCAGGAGCACCACAACATATTCTTGCATGTCTTCGTTCTCTGAATATATTGTTGTTTTAGTTAACTGTTATAACACAACTTTAAAAATTCATACCAGAAATACATATTCATATGTCTTACCTGAATAATTTCAGAATTAAATTTTGATTCCAGATGTGCTGCTCTTTCTGCTTCAATATTTTCTTCTAATTTCTTCACTCTCAGAGTAGTTGCCTAAAAACAAATTAAGATTTTTAAATCATAAATCCATATACTGATATTAGTAAATACTAACACTAGTACTTACTGTTTAAATATGGATTAGTACATCACAGAACTACAATTAGCAATTTAGCTTACCGCAGCTGTAGGGCCTCTCCCTGTTACTTTGCAAGAACGGAGTGTAAACTCATGCTCAAAAAGAATGTTCCAGAGTTTGCTTTCTTTTTGTTTTGCTTCTTAAGTTTTGCTGGGAAACAATTTGTATATAATAACCCATACATATTGGAATGACAAAACTTGGTAAGTTTTCATAAATAAGGATCCAAGAAATCCTTGCCACAATCAAAACCAGAAATACTTCAATTACCCTTAAGCAATCCCTGACATCCCTTGCTGAAGTATTCCTTCCAGCACTGTGCACCTAATCCCCTTCACCGAGTAATCCACATCAGCTAATTCTGTACCGTACAGGAGCTTGTAGTTTCTGAAATTCTATGTCAGTTGAATCCTGTAACACAGATGCTTTATTGCCCAATTCCTTTCCTCCTGTGAAAGTATTCTGAAACTCATCACGTGGGTGCACGTACCATAGGTCACTTTTATAGTCAAACAAACTTCCACTATGTTAATACTACAACCGATTTCTCTGTTCACCTGCTGATGAACATTTATTTCCACTGTGGGCTATTACAAATAAAGCTGCTATGGGCACTTGTGTATAGGGACACAGTTCAATTTCTGTATGCCCATTCACATGGCCAGAGTAACTAGTGAGGATTAGAATGGCTAGGTCAAATGAGAAGTGTATACTGCACATTTTGAGACTACCATAAAATTTTCCAAGGTGGGCATACCAATTTACATTCCATAGGGTTGTATGAAATGTCCTATTGCTCCACATCCTCAACAACAGTTGGCATGGTCATTTTTTAGGGGATTAATGTAGATATTCAAATTGGCCTGTTAAGGGATCTCAGCTTTCATTTACATTTCCCTATAATGACTAATATCACTGAACATCTCTTCATGCATATTGCTATTTGTATGCCTTCTTTGGTGAAGGATCTACTATACTTTTCCTCATGTTTTAATGGAATGATTTTCATATTATGAGTTTTGAGGGCATTTAGCAGATTGCCTAAGCTGCTGATTATGTCACCTATATCTGAGATATGAATGCCTGAGTTTGAGTCCAGCACTGCTTTGATCACAGCTTCCTGATAATTCAGACCCTGGGATGTACAGATGATGGAACAAGTAACTGGATTCTTACAACTCACTTTGAAAGTTGCACTGAATTCCAAGTTTCCAGCTCTGGCACATCCCAGTCCTGGCTGTCATGGACATTTGGGAAATGAAGCAGTAAGCCATAGCTTTTTCTCTTAGTCTCTCTACCTCTCAAATAATAAATTATTAAAAAAAAATTTTATAAACAAAGAATAACCAGTTAACCCACTAATCATTTTCCTAAGCATATACCCAAGAGAAATGAAAGCATGTTCAAACAAACAAACAAACAAAAAAAACACACAAAGGATCATAGCAGCATTTTTCATAATAGCCAAAGGTAGAAAATACAAAAATGCCTATAACTAATTAATGGATAAACAAAATATGAAATACCTAAACAGTGGAATCTTACACAGCCAGAGAAAGGGATGGTACACAGCTCAAAATATGGATGCACCTTGAAATCATGTATAAAAATGTGAAAGTGGGGGCCAGTGCCATGGCATATCAAGTTAAACCTTCAACCACAGTGCAGCCATTCCATTTGGGTGTGGCCCAAACCCCAGCTGTTCCATTTCTTGTCCAATCCCCTGCTAATGTGCCTGGAAAAGCAGCAAAAGATGGCCAAGTCCTTGGACCCCTGCACCGATGTGGGAGACCTGGAAAAAGCTTCTAGCTCCTAGCTTAGAATTGGCTCACTTCTGGCCATCGTAGCCAACTGGGTGGCGAAACAAAACAAAAAGATCAATCTCTCCTCACATCCTCCTTTACACTCCCTTTAAGCCTTTCTATTTGTTGATGTAATTTTGGATGATAGAACTTTTTTCCTTTCTTAGCCTACACAGTTTGTTTTAACAAGTAAGCACACCTGGGAAGAGCACTGTGCCGTAACAGTAAAGCTGCTTCCCACTTCACTGGCGTCCCAGAGGAACACTGGTTTGGGCCCTGCTGCTCCAGTTCTGCTCCAGCTTCCTGTTGATGTACGTGAAAGCCTTGGGACCCTGATCCACACGGGAAGTCCAGAAGAAGCTGGCTCCTGGCTGCAGATCAGCAGCCATTTGAGGGAGCGAACCAGACACTAAAAATGTCTTTCCTTTTCTCTGCAAATTCCGGCTTTCTAATAAAAACAAACCTTTCCTTAAAAATAATTAACAGTTTTACAACCTTCTGAAAATACTGAAAACCCCTGAATTAAATACTTTAAACGAATTAGTTTTGTAATATGTGAAGTGCATCTCAATAAAAAGAATACTTGAGTGAAAAGACCAAAGAAAATATTTTTTTAAAGTGGCAGCACTTAACTTGAACTTGTGATTCCCATCATTGAAAAACAAAAGTTCCTACTAAACGCTGTCTTTAGATCTAAGAACAAGAGATTCCTGAGGCTGTAGACATACAGCTTAGCATCTATTAAACGCTGGTGTTTAGCCCAGACTAGAACTGGCAATACCCTAGTGACGCCCAATACCAATTTTTTTTTTTGAAAAAAGATTTGAATGTAAATACCACAGGACAAACTTTCTTCCCTCAAAGAATTAGAGCTGCCTTTGTTGGTAATGAGTATGCTCACTTGACAGTCTGTAAAATCAGGAGTCTGGCCACTCAGGAAATACCCAAAGGCACTGAGAACATAATTTTTTTAACATTTCCTTATTTTTATTGGAAAGTCAGATAGACAAAAGGAGTAGAGACAAAAAGATCTTCTGCCCACTGATTCACTCCCAAGTGGCCATCCTCAATGCTTTCCCAGGCCACAAGCAGGGAGCTAGATGGGAAGTGGGGCAGCTAGCATTAGAACCGGTGCCCATATAGGATCCAACATGTGCAAGGCGAGGACTTTAGCCACTAACCCATAGTACATAGTATAGTACATAGAACATAGTATCCTAAAACATAGAACACGCAAATAAAGAGAAAAAACAAGTCTAACAATGGCAAAATACATTTCAGAATCCTAAAAGTTGGGCCCGGCGCAATGGTGCAGTGGTACAGTGGTTAAGGTCCTCGCCTTGCACGCCTGGGATCCCATATGGGTGCCGGTTCTAATCCCGGCAGCCCGCTTCCCTTCCAGCTCCCTGCCCGTGGCCTGGGAAGGCAATCGAGGATGGCCCAAAGCTTTGGACCCTGTACCCGCATGGGAGACCCGCAAGAGGCTCCTGGCTTCGGATTGGCATAGCATTGGCCGTTGCGCTCACTTGGGGAGTGAATCATCGGACGGAAGATCTTCCTCTCTGTATATCCGCCTTTCCAATAAAAATAAAATAAATCTTAAAAAAAAAACTTTCATCAACTATTATCAAAGCTTATAAAAAAAAAAAAGAATCCTGAAAGTCTATCTGCAGGTTTCTCTATCTAGTCAAAATTTTCATTAAAATACAACATATTCAGTGATTCTGCAACAAAATATTTGACTATTCAAGTCTTGTTTCTTTTTTTTTCAAGATTTATTTATTTTTAATGGAAAGGCAGATTTACAGAGAAGAGGAGAGATAGAGAGGAAGATCTTCTATCCAATGATTCACTCCCCAAGTGACCGAAAAGGCCAGAGCTGGACTGATCCAAAGCCAGAAGCCAGGAACCTCTCCCAGGTCTCCCACGCAGGTGCAGGAACCCAAGGCTTTGGGCCATCCTCAAGTGCTTTCCCAGGCCACAAGCAGGGAGCTGGATGGGAAGTGGAGCTGCCGGGATTAGAACCGGCATCCATATGGGATCCTGGTGCAATCAAGGCGAGGACTTTAGCTGCTAAGTCATGGCACCGGGCCCTCACGTCTTGTTTCTTATGTACATGTGACAGTGTTTAATTGTTAGCTTGTCATTCCAGCAATCCAGAGGAGATTCCATTTTGCCTGCCTATATCAAAACTAAGCTGAAACAATAAGCACAAGCTCACGTCTATATTTTCATACTTCCTTGTTTTGAATGAAACATCCAAAGAAAACAAATTTACTGGCTATTATTACTAAAACAATTGATAAATCAGTAATGGCATGAGAAATAATTCAAGGCTTCAAACAAACTCGTTCCAACAGTAGATTTTGTTGACTGATTTTATTAAATTTCTCCTAATGAACTTAATTCTAACCTGCTGAAGTAATTCTTATATCCAGCAGAGGGTGCTAAAGGAACATCAACATACTGTTCATTTTTTTTTCTCAATACAGCATAAGAGTTGGCACAGCCTTTGTAAACTTGCTCAGTCATAATGTCAACAACTTATACAAATTACAAGTGATACGCACCTATTTGTTCAGATTGTATCATCTAACAGCTCTCACTTCACAAGTAACTACTACAATAACTACTCTTTTTCAAAAAACATTGTCTAACACACTGGATCTTGGAAGACTGGTTAGTTCTATATGATAACCATAGCATTATGCATATTTCAGCGTAGGCATTATTATGCATATTTCCCCACCTTTACATGAAGGAAAAGAGTACTAAACCGTCAGCCTTTAAACCAGAAACCTCCAAGTATCCTTTTATTACCATAAAAAGGTACTGCAAAGGGATAAAAGTTTTCCAATATAATTGCAATCACATTATGTTTACATTGAAGGCCAATAGTAAATGCTACGGTATAAAAACACTTAAATCATTAGTTAAAAATAAATGAATGGGGCCTGACTTTCCAATAAAAATAAATAAATCTGGGGCACAGCGTGATAGCCTAGCGGCTAAAGTCCTCGCCTTGCATGCTCCGTGACCCCTTTGAGCACCGGTTCTAATCCCAGCAGCTCCACTTCCCATCCAGCTCCCTGCTTGTGGCCTGGGAAAGCAGT